TCCCGCGGGCCGGGAGCGGGAGCAGCCCCGCAGCGAGCAGACCTGGGGGGCTGCGCCGGCTGCCACCCGCTCCGGCGAGTGCGACTTGACTCGGGGCGGGCTGATAAACAGTCGCGAATCTCTTTTATTGCTTCCAGCGGCGCTTTCCCACGCCATGCCTGATCTGCGCCTTCCCAGGTTTTAGTCACTTACTCCTAAACCTGTTTCTTGCAGGGCTGCGTGCGAGGGGGGAGTGGGGGGTTGCATCTCCCTCAGGATTTATTTGTATTTCTTCCTGGGTCTAATTGCAATTCTGTGCCCCGGAGGCGCATGTAGGAGGGAGCCAAATTCACAGCAGTGGAGCCAGGTAGATAAAAGATAGCAGTGAGTGGATGAAGTTTGGTGGCTGTAAGATTCCAATAAACAATCCCAAGGTTAAAAATGGAAGCGCTGCTTGCTGAGCTGTGCGACGCGTCCACTAAAGCCATGGCAGGGCGGTTTGTCCACTAAAGCCATCGCAGGGCGGTTACACCCCGAAAGGCCAAGCTGGCGAAGCGAAGATAAAATGAAAATGCGACGGGGAGTTTCATGCAGCTCTTGAAACGCAGAAGGAAAACTGCTGATTTCTAACTGTCGTAAATCTGGGGAGGATTCAAGATGCCCTCTGATGTGGTTTGGATTTAAAAGGGGAAAAAAAAAAAGTCGCTGTGTCTGCTTATTACAGGCCTGATTTCCGTGGCTGCGATTGCAGTACAAAGACATTCCTTTCAGGTGTGGGGAACCGATCAGCTTGCCAAGTAAAAGCCAGGACTCCTTGAAATCTGAGCATGAATAAAAGCTGTTGAATCACTCCTCAGCATCCTCCTGCCATTTATGTCGTTAATTTAACTTGGGTAGGGTAGTGTGACACAGAGAAGCTGAGTGACCATGTTCCAAGTAGTGTGTGCTGGGACGCGGGCTCGTGGTGAGGAGTAGCATGGTCGCAGTTGGCAGTCCAAGGGGCAGATTTTACCGTATCCTGACCTCCACAGTGCCACGGTCTTAGGGAGTGAAGCCCCATCCCTGGCCCTGTTTCTTGAATATTTGCTGCATAGCTTCATGCCATCGCTGCTGCCAGGAGGAGTCCACTGCTGCTGCTAATCCCCACCTTAGTTTTTCATACAAAGTAAACACAAGTTAAGCAACGTGGAATGGGTGTAGGTTTGTGTGTCACTGACTCAGAGATTCCTGAATATAGTGACTGATGCCTCCTCCTCGCTGCAAGCTGTGGATACCCCAGCGTCAAACCTGCTGCGCCTACTCCAAGTGATGCAACCCTGAGTAGGGAGAAGTCCTATTACCTGTGTTGCGGATTGCTTATTTTATTTCCCATGACTGAGGGGACTCAAACGTCTCCAGAACAGGCTGAATGTCAAAAAGTGGCCAAAGCGTAGTCAGGGCCAGCTGCTTCCGACAGCCTCCCAAGGTGTGTTTCCTGATCCTGCCTTCCAGGAAACGAAGCTGGCAGAGCACAGGTCTTACTGGTGACGGGCTCTTAGCAGGCAAGTCCTGTTTATCTAGCAAAGAAAACACAACTACAAGCACTTCATTTCACTTTAATTAAATGCATTCAGGTTAGCGATGCTTAGTAATCTAGGATCAAAGACCTTGTGATCTTTAATCCAGTTTCTCACTGAGTTTACTTAGTGTCGTGTTTAATATAAAACTCTCACCGTTTCAAGTCTATGAACTGCTCCAGCGCTGCTCCACAAAGCTGTCTGAATCCAAGCTCTCATGTTGCATTGGCCTTAATTCTTGCCGCTCACCCACTGAATGTGGGGTCACCCAAGGGGTTTTGCAGAAATAATCATAATTTGGTGGCATCTCTGCTGTCCTCGGTCCTCCAGCAGCTGCTCCTTCGCCCCTCACAGGCAGGGACATGTAAACTGTTGGTAGGACCACACTAGCTCAAGTGTAGGGTGGTTCGTATTTTGAAAGCTAAAGGAAATGTGTTTTTTGTCAAGAATCCCTTGTAGTGGGAGAAGTTTGGGATAAGAGAAAAGTCATGACTGACTGTAAGGGCAGTGATACTCCTGGGTGTATCCCAGGGTGACTTGTGGTGTCGTGGGTGGGACAAGGGAAAAGCTAACGTGCTTGCTGGACTCGGTGGTGTGTTTTAAGGTTGTGTGGAATTCATCTGCCTCCAAACCCATAACTTCAGCAGAGGCTGTGGCAGCTCGTGCCCAGCCCCTGGCGTGGCCAGCTTCTTCATTCCGTGTGTTCATCCGAGTGCTTTTTTTCTGTGGGAATACACAAGTGTTGGCGCTCCGCTTTTGTTTTTCCCCAGTAAACTCTGTTTCCTCGGGAGCTTCTTGCCTGATCTCTGTCCGTCCACGGAGGGCAGGGACTTTGTGCCAGCCACAGCTATGTGCCATGGCAGCCCTTGATGGGTTGGGGACCCCAGCCATGGGGTCCGGCAGCCTTGGGACGTGCAGGAGGGAGCAGGGACATGCAGGACGGAGCAGGGACGCTGGCTGGGGCCGTGGTCACTCGTACAGGCTCAGTCAGGGACCCGGGGATGCAGCGGGCTCCTCGGGCAGGCAGTCCTGCTTGGGCGAGCGCAGCCCTCGGCTTTCGGAGGTTTAGGAACACAGCCCAGCCCCTTTGTGTGCGGAGCTTACACAACCTTCCCCTTTCTGCTCCTGGGCTTTGAACCGCTGTGCGACACTGGGCAGAAACTGGTTCTGTGCGTCACGCTGGAGTGTGGGGTCGGGTCTGAGGACGGCTTCCAAACTTTTTAGGGGTGGGAAAAAAAGTCTATTTACTTCTTGGTGTTTGTGTTTTGGGGTGGAGAGGGAGTTTGGTTCCCTCTCACTATGGAGGTGGGAACACTCCTGCAGAGTTTTCTCTCTGATCGCATCCGTTTTGCTCCCCCCTTCCTCAAACTCTCGTATTTTCTTTAATGTTGGTCTCCTTGGCTACGAGTTATTTGTGTATCTCCTTCCAGCCAAGGTGGGGTTTACGTGCTTCAGTGCTTCTGCTTGTTAATTCATGCTGTTAATCAGACACAAAGAGCGTAATTAAACTAATTTTATGAGCTTTATTCACGGTCAGAAATAAACCGGCCCAAAGGTGTGGTTCAAGGGGAAAGCAGAGGGCTGGGAACCTGGAGTTACACGATGGCTCCTCCTGCTCGTAACACCAGGGCTCTGCCGTCGCGTCTCCATTCACGGTAGTATTTCGTGGGAAGGCATCCGGAGCCTTTCTCCGTAAGGCAGCTGGTGTGAAGGTGGTGTGGCACGGATGATTTGTCCCCCGGTGCCAATTGCACCAGGGTCAGAGAGACATTGCCCCAGCAGCGTGCAGAAGGGAGCTGCGGGTGCTGGTGGTGTCAGCCCGCAGCAGGGAGAGGGGCTGGGGCACCTCCTTCCCGCTGCCACCGAACCACGAGGGAAGCAGCTCCTTGGGAAGCCCCTGCGTGCCCGTGTCCGTTGCCGTCCCCATGCGGTGCAGCGAGGTGTTCCCCTCCGCTTGCCCAGTCCCGCTCGGCACAAGCCAGGAGCCAGGGACACCTCTGCTGTCGTGACAGGGAACCAGTTGTCATGACAGGGCTGCATGAAGAGCCTGTCCTGGACCCTGCGCTGTGATGCAGAGCCCACGGAGCATGGGCAGGAGCTCGCTCTCTCCAGTTGGCGTGGGGGGGTCAGGCCCTGCTGCTGCCTCCCCCGCAATCCGGCCGCTGATGGCTCAGCCAAGATCAGACCCTGCCCGTGTGTATGAGCTGGTGTGTATCGCCTCTGTGGGCTCCTGCCCTGGACCCACTCCTGCTCTCCTGGGGGTCGGAGCCTCGCAGTGCCATGAAGAGCTGATCCAGTTGCTGCTGAAGCATTTTGCTTCCCTAAACTTAATCTGGGTGGGGAGCGAATTGAGTGCTTGCACTCACTTTTGACCCTCCTGAGGTAAATTTAGGTTAGCTACGATTAGAAATAAGCCTTTTGGAATAGACTTGACATCTGTGCTCTTTAGACTCCAGTGTCTGGAGCTCTGGGAAGGGTCTGTGCACCTCGTGGGCACGTGCCAGGGCTGCCAGCGCCTGCCTGGGGGTCCTGTGTGCCTGGGACCTTTCTTCTCCCATCTTCAGCTCAGCTCCCAAGCACCCAGACACTCCTCAGAACCTGATGGTTTTGCCCATTCCTGGGAGCTGATACAACAAATTCTCCACAGCCCTTTTTAAAATCAGGTGGTGGCCAGTGTTGGTGCTCCTGATGCCTTGAATGCAGTGCTGCTGCTAACAGTCTTCTCTTCCCCTCAGGTGATGTGATCGAAGTGTATTATGGTGACAATCGCTTTGGGACAGTGACCGACTCTGGCACAGCAACGCTTAAACCTCGTCCGAGGGTCCGGCCGCTGCTGACTTTCTTACCCCTTGTGAGTATCGGGCTCGCCGCTGGCATTCGTTACGGCAGTGCGTAACCAGTGCCCAGAACCAGCTGGGCTGGCTGCTGCTCTCATCCTCTACCCCAGGGAAGAAAGTAAATGAAAAGCAAAACCACTCTGTAATAATGCTGGATACGAGGGATTAGGAGGTGATCTGAGTTCAAAGCTTGTGTTGGACATAGACAAGGTACTCGGGCGAGAGACGTAAGCATCGTCAGACTTGTATTTTCAATTAAAAAAAGATTGCTGAGCACGTAGATGATAGCTCTGGCTTGCACTGCATTTTATCTCACCGCTACCGGCGGTATCTCCCTTGGACGAGGCGTGTTGCTGGGGAGAGCAGTAGCAAAACTGCTGCTTGCAGCAGGGGAAGGCGGCGGCGATGCGGCAGGTGTCTCTGCAGAGGCTCATTTTCCAACCTCTGTATGGGGGAACATTCCCTGCAGAGCTTCCAGCGCTCCAGCAGCAGCTGCATTCAGGGACTAAAGCAGCAAGTGCCAAAGCTGGACCCAGACCTGGCTTTTACCCACACGTGCTCGTTGCTGGCTTTGACGTGCTGCCGTGTGTGTGAGCAAGCTTTCCGCCCCCGAGTAGCGCACCATCTCCCAGGTCTTACCCCCCGAAGAGTACAGTGAAGCACGTGACTCCTCAGAGATATTTTGGAGGTGGCAATAGCTCAATCTGAAGCCAAATCTGCTGTCCCCTGGGTGCATTTAGGAGTCAACGGGGTCGTGCAGGCTTCACCTGGAGGACAACTCGGGACAGGGAGAAGGGACTTCATGTATCTATTTGAGAGCATAATTAGGAAGTTACGGGGTTGCACAGGTTCTACAAACCTGTCTAATGGAAGGTGTCCCTGCCCATGGCAGTGGGGTTAGAACAAGGTGATCTTTAATGTCCCTTCCACCCAAACCATTCTGTGAGAGGGGTTGTGCCTTCTGTGATGCCTTCCAAAGAATCACAGCAGGTGACAAATCTTGTCTGGGATGTGAGTAACCATAGGACTGGTGCCTGGGAAACTCCTCTCTGGTATTGCAGGATGTGTGACCATAGCTGGCACCCCATGTCACCAGGTTTTTAGAGGTTAAGTGGCCTTCTGCATCTTTTCAGAGCTTTCAGATGCTTTACTAGTGGAAGTGGTAGGGGAATAAACAGGCCAAGTGCCCCTGGGATAAATACTGAGGGCTGTCACCTTGGCCATGGTGCTTTCCTGCTGCCTGCAGAGACCCTGGGGCTTTTTTTCCTCTCATTTGCCCTTGTGAGGGTCCGTCTTCCTGTGCGTCTCTTCAAGGGTAACAGGCTTAACTAAAGAAATCAGTAGGAATAAGCAACATTATTTTTAAAGACCAGCCTGTGTTGGACATTTGCATTATTTTGATGAGGTTTGATTATGATTTGATTTGGCACAGATGCTTCTGCTGCTGCATACATACCTGCACTGGGCTGTTCTGCAGCTCCTGCCTTAACCCTTTCTTTCCACCCACCCGCTCCCCTGCACGGGCGGAGGCTGTGAGTCAGGAGGATGCGCACACCCTGCCCGGCAGCCGGGCCCCTGCGTGTGCCTGGCAGCGATCCCCGCACCCAGCGGCTCCCTTCCCCCAAATCACCTGGCCCTGGGCCGTCCCGAGCTGGATCGCAGCAGGGATTGCAGAAGAGCAGCCCACCCAGGTACCACCACGTCCCCCTGCCCACCCTGGCGCTGTGAGTGCAGGCAGAGCTTTGCCATCCTGGGGGAATTTATTAATTCCTTTAGTTAACCACCAAACTTCTCTAGCTCTGCTTGAAAATGAGGAGTCTGGGGGGAACTCTTCATATTTGGAGAAATCCTTGGCCTCTCTGGGACCCCAGGACACAAAGCAGTTGTATTTTGGTGCATTTTTTGTTAACAGGCAGCCTCAAACCTTGTTCATTTAATGGGTGGGAAACATGGGCTCCCGAGAGACCGGGGGAGCTGGGGACCACGAGGACAGGCAGGGTTCCCTTCACTGGGGGTGTCCAACTCTGTTCCAGGGCTGAAAAGCCATTCCTGGTGGTTACGGTGAAAGCCTCCCCCAGCCAGATCCTCAGCCCACATAAATCGTGTTCGGGTACCACAAACTGGAAATGCAGGTTCCTGGCGCCCGCCCCAGCAGCCTTGCTCTGAATCAGGGAGGTTTGTGGGCCGGTCACACCCCGAGCAAACCCAGCGCAGGGAAACAATCTTTCTAGTCATCTCTGGAGCCTGGCAGCGTGCTGGAGATGCTTTCCATTGTGGAAGCCAGCTCGTGACGTGAGGACGGGTGGTTTTTGAGAGATGCTGAGCATTAGCAACGGCAACTGAAAGTTTTGGTGTGAAACAGGCTTGCCCAGTTTATAGGACCTGTCGAAATGACTTGTCCAAAATTACTATCGCTTATGAAATGTGGACTGTTTCCTCCAGCTTTGCATAGGTCTCTTCCGACTGCCACTGCCTTGCTGCTCCTACCCAAACATGTGATGCATGTGTTGCTTTTAATACAGTGCCCAGACATCTCTGTTTCCCTGTAGATGAGCAGGTATCCTCCGTGTGCTCTGGGGACTGGCAGAATGAATTTCCATAGTAAAGGGGAACTGCTGGCTTTTTTTTTTTTCCTTTGTGTGTTTTTTGGTATCTCATTGCTCTGGATAATTTCATTATCAGCTCTTGAAGTGCCTCTGTCTTCCCTCTGGCTCTCAGCTGAAGTTAAGGATCTTTCCTCTGCATGGTACTGTATCTTTAGGACCAGGAAAGAGGTCTTAGGTGAGGCTCTAAGGCTCACCTAGTCTGATGTTTTGCCACTGACAGATCTGCCCTAATGCCTTAGCAGATCTTGGCTTCTCCTCTTTGAGCAGTTGTGCAGCCCCAGGAATGTGAATTCCTACTCTCCCCTGGCTCACCAACAACTGGCTCGTTCTCTTGTGGTTATGGAGGATCTTTGGACATCTGCAGGGTGACGGACTTCGAAAGCGAAGCATGTTTTCTTCATATTTTGACAAAAGCAGGGGGATTCTGGGGCTCTTCTGAAGAGCCCAGGCTGCTGCTGTTAGTTCTGCCCCGGCAGCTCCTGCCTTCCTGTGCTCCCTACACCCAGAGCGGTGGGAATGTTAACGTGCTGGCTGTCTAAACCCAGCTTGGCCCTTGATCAAGGAGACTTTGGAATCCTACAGCCATCTCTTGTAAAAGTAGTGATAATGCAGTGAAAGGCAAAGAGCAGGGACTCAGTTATGATCTAGGCTCTGTGTGCAGAAACCCACTGCACTGAGCGGCACAGGGTGATGGCGGGAGGAGGTTTCCTTTGCACAAGAGGCTGTTAACAGCCACTGCAAACCGCTGCCTGGGGTGAGTCTGAGTGCAACAGGCTGGACCCTGGAGCCTGGGAACGGGACGGTGAGTCCCTGACCACTGCCCGTGGGCTCTGCAAACTTCTGCTGCTCGTGGAGTGTGATTTCCTCGCTATGGGTCTCTCCCAACATTGGTATGTGAAAGCCCAGTCCACGGCCTCAGCCACTGTACCCAAGCTGACAGCCTGATTCAGCACCCGTTTGTGTTTTGGACGTGGGTGCGTTAGTGTACGTTTCATGAGCAGCTCCAATCTCTCCGCAGAGCAATCTTAGTGAGTCACTGGAGGAAAGGAGAGGCTTTCTGCCCCTGGCAGGTCCAGGCAGCAGGAGCCCTGGTCAGCACTCCCGGTGAGTCAGCGTGCCACAAATATCTCACCCTGGGTGGCTGTAATTACCCAAAGTGCCCTGGCTGTAAGCATCCTGGCTAATGTGTAGGCTGCTAAATTGCATGGTCCTGTACCAGCTAAATGCACCGTGGAGTTTTCAGCATAAATCCGAAGGCAGTAATTGCGCATGAAACACAAACCACACGTGTAGCAGTTTTTCCCAGACTGTTCAGATATGCTGGTGCCAGTTTCCCCAAAAGCTGGTAGTCTGTGGCTTCGGTGTGGTGTGTACGTGGCTGCGGCGCAGGCTGGCAGCGCTGGCTGGAGAGCGGTACCCACAAAACCCATGGGAGCTATTACATTCGCTTGGTACGTGAACGGTGAGAAACTAGTGCTACTGATCTTGGGCTGAGGAGCCCTAAGCTTGGGTGTGGAATAGCCACACTCCTCTCCAGCCCCTCTGCACCTGACTAGCCTAGGGAAGTTGTGTCCATGGCTTGTGCAACACTGATCGCTTCATCCTCCCCTTGGTACAAGGGGTAACAGGTTTAAATTGAAAGTGGGGAGGTTTAGATTAGATATCAGGAAGGAATTCTTCCCGCAGAGGGTGGGGAGGCACTGGGACAGGTTGCCCAGAGAAGCTGTGGATGCCCCATCCCTGGGAGTGTCCAAGGCCAGGCTGGATGAGGCTTGGAGCAACATGGTCTAGTGGAAGGTGGCCCTGCCCATGGCAGGGGTGGGGCTGGGGGGGCTTTAAGGTGCCTTCCCACCCAAACCATTCTGGGATTCTAAACCCTGTAAACAGCAACTACTGCAGGGATCTCTGTGTGAAGTGAACAGCACTGGATCCCACCAAGCTTCTGTTCAAGTAGCTGAATTACCAGCTACTGGTGCCTGCTTGTCAGCGCTTTGCTCCGATACCCTGAGCATAAAACTAACCACTCTGTATTCTCAACTATTGCAGAATGCCCAAGAATCCCATGGGGTGGCTGTGCCAACGCCGTCAGTGCCAGAAGACTTTGAGGAAAAAGCAGCTCTTGGTAAGGGATCTTCTCTGCTGAGTCTTGGACGGTGCAAAGTGCTCGGGAGTACCGTGCCCTCGGGGAGGGAAGTGAGCGTGTATCAAGCTCTGGAGCAGACTGATCATGAGATTTTTCAAGCTCAAGTAGAGCCTACTATTAATTATATATTGAAGTAATTGAAAGTGAATTAATTTCTAAGGGGCTGTTATAGTTCAGCAAGCTTCAGGCAGCTGCTGAGCAAAATAAACTGGCTTCCTAGGAG